CATCAAGCTAATTAGCACTTTTTTATGTTTTTTCTTTCAATCTATTTATTCTGCTTCTTTTCTTTTCTTTTCATATGTATATAAATAACTCATTCTCTCTAGTTATGTCATTTCCTGATGATGGTGGGAATACTCACCGAAAGCTCGAAATTTTGATAAAATTTTGATGTATTTTGTAGCAGTTATTTACTCATTTTTATACTCAAGTAAGCTAAAACATTGTATTTCAATTATTGTTTTATGCTTTTAGTTCTATTTGGAACTGAAAATCGTAAGTATAATTTTTCATTAAGGAATTCTTATTTTTATTCTTTTAGTGAAAAAATCATTTTCAAATCAAACATAAGTGTAATATTTTATTAAATAATTCTTATTTTTGTTTTTTTTAGTTCAAAATTCGGCATCGCAATCACAAAAAAGTATAATTGCCAATAAATAATGCTTATTTTTATTCTCTTAGTGAAAAACAAATTTGAAAATCATAGGTAATTATTATTTAAAAAATAATGTTTATAATTTTTTTCGAATAGATTTGCTTCAATGGCTCATGAAACTGAACATGATTTTTGGCTAAAAGTAAGTTTCCCTAAACCTATTAGAAGGGTATATTTGAAAGGATTTATTACTTTCCTAAACCCTATCCTAAACCCTTTGGAGGAGTTTAGGAATGTTTCATGTACGGTAAAAAGGGTTTATTATTCTACGTTTTTTTAAACAGTGTATAGCAAATTGATAACAGTCGAGAAGAATTTCCAGCACTATTTCATATACTTGCGCTAACGAATGAAGTAGAAATAGCGAAACTAGAATCCATGTGCAAATGCCAGCGAAAAAGTTAGTTTAGAAATTCATAACGTGAAACATCTTGTAAGTAAGATCTTGGCCAAGATTTTGGGTACAGATAAGTGAACAGATCTTGAAAATTTAGGTACAAGATAATACAGTTATCTTGTACCCAAGATCTTATTACAGATCTTAAGTAAGAATTCATAACATCTTGAATGATACATTCTGAAAGTATGTTTGGTATTTTTTCAATATATTTTAATATTAACTATTCCTGTCCCGAATAGCTGAAGCAAATCGGATGTTCAGATTTGACCGGCTTTAAGTTGGTCCGATATTCGCCAGACCAATTTACGGAAGTCAGTACCTAAAGTTTGATTCTCTGAACTTTGGTAGCAAGAAAAATATCGAAAGGAAAACTTCGAAATATAAGGATATCAAAACAAAAATATCGAAATGTCGGAAACTTCAATATTGAAAAAAATAGGGTGAAGGAAATGGTCCACTGTGTCACGCCTCGTCGGGCACGATGAACTAGATGGGACTTTGCGTCTAAATTTTTTATTAACATTCATCAACTAATCTATTCACTATTTTTTTATTTTTTATTTTTTATTTTTTATTTTTAATCCGTGACTTAGAAATAAATTTCTCTTCTTTAAAACTAGTAATTTGCTTATTTGTTCAATAAAAACTATTAATTTTACTTTGATATTTCTCTGCATCATTTTTATTTTTGACATTTTTACTTTCGACCAAAGTTCAGATTACCTAAATTGTCATCAAAATGTTTTACCTATCTTGGATACCCGTCAAAACTCTCTTAATTATTAAAGGGACAAGATTTTTTAAAAACTTACTTGCTCATTTTACTAAAGCATTGTTCATTTCGTTTTATTCAGGTGATAGCTGAGCTGTTGACGCATAAACTTTTCTATTGTTCCTTTCACACAAAAATTCTCTGTAGGATAACTACATTTGCTAGTATAATCAAATTAATGATCTGCGAACTTGAACATCAAATCCGAAACAGTCACACTTATCAGCTTAGTACATTTCCTTTCCGAAAATAGATGTCGCTATATTCACCACGTTTATATGCTATCGTTCATGCTGGACTTCTGCCAGAAATTATTATAAAACTTTCAAGAATCTGGCAGATAGTATAAGAAGATTTCTCAAAGAGTCTGACAGGTTTTCAATATTTAGAAGGGATTAGCTCTTCGGATCCCCTCCCTGATCGATAAGCCTGATCATAACATTTACATCAAGGATCCATAAATTACTTTCGTTAGATATTTCACTTCATAATTCATAATCGATACTTAGCAACTTGAACTTGGAATTTTATTGAAGCCATTCGATAAAAATCTCTAATTAGCTTACACGTGAATACATTTAAATTTAACGAACTTAAATAAATGAGAGTTTGTTAAAATACAAAACATTCAAGAAAACGCGTTAAATGTTTTCACGCGTGAAAACAGATGCGAGTTTTCATGATATTTAACGCGTTAGTAACTGTTAAAAAGTCATTAACGCATGAAAAATCGTGAAAAGTCTAACTCATTTTCACGAGTTTGTGGAAGATAACGAAGCTTCATGAATTGCTTTTCATTAAATCTCGTTAATTTTTGATTTAACGCAGTTTCTTTTCGTTAATTTTGAAAATCAATTCGTTAAATGCCTATTTATTTTTACATGGGAATTGCATATGAAGGAGATTCTAATAATGAACTTTTCTTCCGTCCATTCTATCTATATGAAGATCGATGCTAGTGACCTACATTCTAATAGTTTTGCTCCGATAAAATTACTTTTTTATCCGATTAATCGTGAAAGTTTCGAAATTATTGACTCTACGCAACATATTGGGAAAGGGACACTTTGTCTCACCCCCTTTTACAATCTCCCGGTAAATTAATGTGCTTACGATCTCCTGACATGAAGAAAAAGACATGGTGTTCGGACTGGAGTCTGTGCAGGAGTTCTGAATCAATTCTGATAATAGCTTTTTCAACGATTATAACCATTGAAAAAACTATTTTCAAAATTGATTCCGAACTCCATGTAAAATTTTCTCTTTATGAACATCAAAATTTGACTGGAGATCGGAATCAGAATGTCCGGATGTTCGTAATGGCAAAGACATGAAGGTCGTAATAAAAAAAACGACAGAATTATTGTAAGTATGTTAAGATTTGTTCATGTGTGAGAGAGTATGAGGTGATATGGTAGTTTCGCAACCTAAAATCATGTATGGAGAACGTTTTGATGAATTCAAGCAATTAAGCTTGCAGTTCTGTTCACTATTATAATTCTAGTGTTAGCTATTGTTTTTCTAATTCCTTCAATACACTCTATTACAAATATCAATTTTATTGAAAAAAAAGAAATACATAGTTATTCATAACTTTAGTGGGTGTGGGTGTGGGTGTGAGGGTATGTTGGTTGATCTGTGTATGCACGCTATATTCTATCGCACCCACACCCGCACCGTATTACGGCCGTAATTAATCGTGTCGTAAACGGTTACTAACAACCGTAATGTGGTCGGATATTTCCGTATCCGATCGTTTATGGCACGATACAAAAACGACCGTAATACGGTGCATATCAAGCGGCCGTGTACGACACAAGTTGATCGACCCGGGTGTATATGAGTTTTAATTCTCTATATACGCATGTCAGATATAAAATAATCTTGTGATTTTTGAAAAATATTATTAAGATTAATTGCTATCTAATGATTCCTTTGGTAAGGATGAAATCTATAGATCATGGTAGCTGTTCACACCCACATTATTTATATACTGATAGGCTATCTTCATCATTGTTATCTTCAATCAATTAGATGTTTTGTTCAACTGCCAACTCGATAGGTTACTGACTGTGAAAGAGACTCCAACGTGGGCCTGTTGCATGAACTACTGAAGTACTTTCAACGAAGAAATCTAATGATCAGTTGCACTATCTCTATTCAAGAGTGATAGGTGCTCGAATGTAGTCGAAAGTTGGTGTCTTATACTACTAAACAACAACAAAAACGAAGAACGCAATCAGTGGGAGATGATCATTCATAAGAATTTTTTTATTTGAAAGCAACTATTCATGCTGGGAAAAATCTTGACAGATAAGCAGGAAGTCGACTTTATTTTTATCTTCACTCTCTATGTGCTCATTTCTTCTTATTGTTCAATTTTGCATTTTATCTTTTTCTTGTATAGTCCCTTTGCTTGCCCGCTTCTGATAGTAATTATGCTATTCAAATGAAATATTTCTTAAAAGAAGTATCATTACTTCTTTTTAAGGATAGATATTTTTCTAGTAGTACGTACAGTAACCGCTACTACTGCTTAAATCTTATTTGAGCACTAGCATGCAAATATATTTAGAAAGGATTTAATTAGTCTATTCAGATCTTCCTATCTGCACTTTTTCTATTACAATGGACTCAATTCTGAAAGAGATGTTGTGTTATCGATCCGTTATTTTGAGAGGCATTCCAACAATGCGAATCATTCTCTTTCGATCGGGCAATAGCTTCAGTAGACTTCCTAATGCTTGTACTGATTTTATAAAGTTTTAGAGTAAAATATCAGGGGACTTCATTCAAGTCTTTTCGCTTTTGCATGAAGATTTCCGTCATAATCACACATTCTGTTGAGTGAGACACATCTGCATTTTGGAGTTGAAAAAATTTAAGGCATTTGAAAAGCAGCTTTTTAACGTGTTATTCTCATCAAAGAATATTGCAAGCTCCTATTTTTCCATCGTTTTAGAATTCAAAGGAAAACATGTTTCCACGTATTCAATGGTACTTCCCATAGCAGTCTGAAGCAGAGCCAATGAATTCAATTAGAGATGCACCTAATTCTATCCAACCGAGAGCTGTGTCACTCAATAATAATATTGACAATAGTACTACTCCAACAAGTGCACCAGATATTTCGATGCCCCTACCAGCACGTTTTTGGCTTTTACTCTCATTCGAAGTACCAGGCCTTACATGCACTTTGCTGCTTATCTATCATCTACTCATGGATCGATCTTTACGCACAGCATTACATAATCATGTTGTTATTCTTTCTCTGTTTGGTGCATTGTTGACACAGCTAATCGACATCCCATTTTATCTTGCTTTCTCTTGGCTGAGTCATGTTTGGCTAGAAGCGCATTTCTTCTGTAAACTTTGGCGGTTTGTCAATGTGGGTGTATTTCTTATGATTAGTATTTTAATAGCATACGCATCAATTGAAAGGCATATTTTAGTATTTCATGATAAACTTGTATCCACGAAAAGAAAACGTATTCTCTTTCATTATCTCCCACTTGGTGGAGTTCTTCTTTATGGTTTTACATTCTACACAACTGTTATATTTTTTCCAAGCTGTGAACAAGTATACGACTACAGTCAACCTTGGTGTTCGTACCCATGCTATCTCAGTGACTTTGCACTTTCAACATATGATGTAATGGTAAATACAATCTTGTCAATTATCTTGACAATTGTATTCAGTATTGCACTATTGGTACGCATCATTTATCAAAAGTATCGCCTTCGACGGCCTATTCAATGGCGTAGATATCGAAGAATGACGATTCAATTGCTTTCGATAGCGTCACTATATGTTTTTATCGTTTTACCTGTACCAATCCTTATATTTGCGCATTTATGTGGATTACCACGTGAAGTTGGCTCGGAAGTTGAACTCTATACATATTTTTTATGCTACTTTATTCCTCTACTTTTGCCGTACGTCTGCTTAGGTTCATTGCCAGAAGTATGGGAAAAGATAGGAGTGATAAGAAATGCACGAGCACAGTTTTCACAACGTACAGCCACAATTGTACCAACCCATGTTCAACGTTTGACTGTTGCTATGCCTCCGATCGCTGAGCAGGTATGAATATATTGCATGTTCTAATCATTTATTTGATTGCATAATTATCATCTTCCTATAAACTTTGCTACTAGAGAGAAGCTTGAGTACAGTAATGGAACAAACACAAACGATTAGACTGTGGACATGAATATTTGTATCTTTCGCACTCACAATTTTACATTTTTATCGAAACTATCATTAATATGAACGCTTTTAGTATTGCTTGAAACAACCCTTTGAATGATGTTTTGCATTAAGCTTGTACTTTGTTTCTTTCAAGTTCGTAAGAAATTCGTATGTCTTGTGAATTTCGGAAAAGTACGACTGCTTTCAATGTTGTAATGTGTGCATATATTCTGACCTTTAACCCACACTAATTTTTTATGTTAACTTGTTATAAAAGAAAAGATGCTTACATTTATAATAACGATTGTATTTTGAACTCTGAACATTTTAACTTCAATAAAAACTCTACAGTAACATTGCATGATTACCTATAAGAAATAATTATACTGTTTGCAACTGCAGAGTTGAAGAAGACTACGCAATGTGAGGCGATCACATCAGACGTCTTTGGAACATTTTTACTGGATGCCCGAATAATCGTAGATACGTAGGGACATATTTCTTGAAACGTTGTTTCAAGATATCGGCTACAGTTTGTGAGAACAAATATAGTATGAGCCGTACCATAATATATTCTATGTTTCAATGCATGTAAATGATAGGCATGACGAATCCATGATAATTTTCTAGGGGGCATCTTAACTTCTCGATTCATTGAATTCTGATTGCCGCGTCATTGAAAAGTATCTGTCATCCTTGATTAATAACTAGTAATTGAAATGGCCCGTTTCAAAAATCGAACAAACAGGGAATTTTCTCTCAATAATAGTGAGTTTTCAAATCTTGCAAAAAGCAAGGCAATTTACAATTGGCATATTGTTTATCATGCGCAGCAGTTTTTTCTGTCAATTTATATTCTTCTTATTTTTTGCTAAAAACATTGTTCATATTAACAATACCGTACTGAATAAACCTAACGAGGAATCAAAACTGACTGGAAAAATTCATGGCTGTGTAAAAGTTACTTCAACATCTTACGAGCTAATAGTCATTTCAATGATTAAATCCAGAAGACTTATGTTTCAGGGATCCTATGAAGTAGTTGCTATGGAAAGAACATATCTGTATGGGCTTAATTCAAGTAGATACGAAATTCGTATGACTCATGAAAAGATCCGTCAGCCACCATCTTCCCTGGCCGATCCATGAAGACCTGTTCAGTTACATTTCAGATAGTGGGCGACCTAATTAATGGATTTCTGCTCGAAATCTACTTGTTTTATTCTATATTTGTAAGCGATTTCTAGTTATAAGTGTTTTCATATTTGATTTTCGCTCTACGCTAAGTCACTCATTGCACGCTACATAGAGTCCTGAGCGGGTTCAACCTTTTGAACCCGCACCTAGCTCGAAAATTTATTTAGGATCCGAATTTAACTTGGAGCAAGGTAGTTCAACCAGATCTCGACCGAATCCGAAGGTTTTCAATCAGAAATCCGACCCGAGAAAAACCCGACAAATTTCTAAATGAAGCCTGAGGGTGTGGGTGTGGGTGTTTGTATCAATGAAGCCCTGAATGAAACTCCCACACCCACAGAAATCGTACCGGCCGGCTTTGTAAAAACACGTGCCATACTGCACGTGTTAGGGTTATAGATTCGAGCGCCGGTTTTTAGAACATTTTAAAGTTCAAGCGTGGGTGTAGGTGTGATAGCAAATGAGTCACACCCAGATACAAGCCAACGCTCGCAGCAACACCCACACCCATATTATGTATCATCTAAAATAGAAATAAACTCATGATCTGATAGTTTCTCAGAGACAAAGAAGTATGTTCATGAAATTAACAATTTTATATGCACATATGCATGTACATAAAATAAAGCAAAAATAGGAAATTTCAATCATGTTCATAATTTATATGTCTTTCACTAATACATTCCGATTGTTCAAAAGTTATTGAGGCCCATTTGCTGAAGACATCAAGGACTCGAATGTTAATAAATTCATTACTTAAAAATCATATTAGATAAAATGAATTAATCTAGGTGAAAAATACACGATCGTATAGGATCATAAACAGTCAGATAGTCAATGTTTCGAGCGTATTATAACCGTGATTGGCCTTTTACGATTCGGTGAAATACGACCGTAATATGGTGCATCAGAAAACGTCAATTTACGACGATTTACTGTCGAAAACAGCAAGAAACGGTAGCATACGTTAGCGTTTTCGGTCTTGTGCGATCGATTTTGGTCGTCGTGATGATCGACTTAGGAGCTGCATTTTGGAACTCATCTGACGTATTCATTCATCAGATATGTTTACTCGATATGAAGCTGTTGTATCAGTGTCTAATACTCATTCTCTAATGAATAAAATAAAATCATATTATCACACTGAATCTGATGACGCTGATCGTGATACGATACTAAATAACAATTCCATGGAAATCGTTTGGCATATAAGATCAAATTATATGTTATTCATTTATCTTTAAATAGTAAATGCAATTGAATTTTAATAACAACATGTTTTAGAATATTCATCGTTTGTATTATGCTTTCTGATAAGTATTCAATGCACTGATATGTAACGTTATTTCCTTGACCGATAAACTTCATGATGGTTTAGACTTTTTCGTTATCATAATACCTTCAAAATCGTAACAATAAATAATTTAGAGTACCTATATACTCTGTTCCGTGCAACTTATTTTTACATGATGAATTACTAGTTCGAATCAAAACAACGAAAATATATAAACCATAGCACCGTCATCAAAGACAGAAGATATTCAAGCGGTATTGGAATTTTCATATACTTATGATAAGAAATAACATTAATAAAAGTATTAAGTATTTGGTCACTTAGTTCTAAAGTTTCTAGAATGCAATTCGATGACAAGAGACATCTACTGAATAGCCTTTTGATATTAAAGAGAAAGTATAGGCGAATCGTGGACTATATAGATTCGAGTTTAGTTCAATTCAATCTTTCGTCCCTATTTCTCATGAAGATTCATTACATGTATTATCGACTTCGTACCATCTATAATTTTTATTATACTATTTAAGCAAAATATATTCGTAGTCATTTCACAAAACCAAACAACACTCTCGAAGAAGGAAACAAATGAAATGTATTAATCGAATCGATTACAACACGAAACGAAAAACAAAGTTAATTTAATATGACGAACGGACAAAGCGAACTCTGTTTTTCTTAATACTTTTAGCCGGTGAGTTCTTCAAGTTCTAGATCGTCATCATCAATTATTTGCCAACAATCCAACACAAATATTCTAAATACAGAAGAATTTCTTGATAAGTTTGCTGCTCTTTCATCTTTTTATTATTCTAGAACAAAATGCTATAATAATAATAATAATAATTAAAATAGCTTGATTAAAAAAACAAAGATTTTAGCTTCAAAGTACATTTTTAATATGCCAATGTATTTGTGAGTATCAAATATATACATCGAACCATATAACTGCACGAGTATTTCTTTCAATTTATTTTAAATGGCGGTATTTTGATTAAATCTATTGATGGTTCATTGTCTTTCTTTTTTTAGAAACAACTGTGTCAGTAGTAAAAGAAGTAAACACAACTGAACAGTTCAAAAGTCAATTGGAAAATCAATTACGGAAAACGAAATTTAATCCAAATACAACTGATATTACCAAAGCTGTTGAACCTGATGATGAAGCAAGTTTTGGATCCAATGCTACAACAGTTGTTGAACGTAATCACGCATCTCATTATATATGTAATAAGTCAATCGTAGTAATCTTCCCCTGGAAAATTTGTGTCTTAAAAAACATTTACAATAAGTAGTATTTTTTATATGTCACATAAGTGAAATGGATGTCTTTCCCTGTCGTTTTAAACTCATTAGTTATACAATTGTTATTCAGACATGCAAAATCTGCCGTAAAAGGGAAAACAACTCGAAGAATTTCCGTAGTTCCATACAATGTATCTTCAACAGTTTCTGCATTGAGAATAATCTTCTAGAGCGCTTATAGTATATTCTACAGTTGTGATGTTACTCATAGAGTTCATGCTGAAAAGAAAAAAAGAGCTAGAACGGCGAATTCTCTATTTTCAACTAATTTCATCTGTATTTATGAGATGAATTGAAAGTTTTGAGAACAGCATATGATAAAAATTTCTTTAGTTTAGGTCATTTTCCTACCCGGTTATGAATTATCCAAAATTTGAAAGTCGTGTTCATTCATTACAAAATCAACCAACGAATAGTTTAATCGAAAGATATATTTTCCAAAATAGAACTCAACATCAACAAAAATCAACAACAATTTAACATCTGTACCAATGAAAACAACAACTATCGTTGAAACATCATCTATCTCGTAAATTTCCATATCAATAAGGACGAAATATCGATAAAGAAAGAGAACAAAAAACCATTTAGAATTTAAAAAGAAATTATTTTGTTTAGTAAAATCATTTTATATGAAATAAAAATCAACTCATGTTGCATAATCAATTTATTAAAACTATAAACAAATATCTCGATTATCATATGACACATCAGAAATTACATTTTTTCTCATTTAAATTAAGCTGTGATTTTTGTTGCTTCAGAAAAAGTTTACTTCTTGGTGGTTTTTGTTTTTCCTAAAGAGCTTTTTTGTAGTTTTATGTTTGATTGAATTTTTTTATGAGCAAAGTGAATGATCTGGAAAAAGTAAATAAAGTGCGCCTAAGAATGTTCATTTTGTTGAAGGGTAGGGGAAGGGGAAAAGTCCGTGGTGAAAAATCATATTCTGAACTTATTAGTATCGTCTTTACATCAATTTAAACCATGTTATTTATTGTTTGGCTTTTAGTTTAATCAAGGCCGTCGCTTCCGAAAATCTGAAATAAATTAGCTCACAAGAATAAATTTGGACGATGAAAAAAAACATTTTTCGTTATCTATGTAATTAAATTGAAAACAACATTCCGAACCAGAATGTCTCACAATATATTTCTGCTTGATTCGGCCCAAAAGAATAAGAAGTTACATCGATTTCGGTAGTTATCCTGTCATACTTTTACCTCTTCAGTAAAATTTGAAAACACCGTATAAATATTACAGATGATTGATGTTATTTATTGTTGTTATTGTGCCGATATTGATGGCACGCTTCGATGATTCTCCTTCGTTCTCTTTCCATTGTTCTAATATCTCTCTCCCCTGTCTCTCTTTTATCTCTCTCCTATATATACGTGTGTTACACATGAAGTTGTGACACTCTGGAGATGTCAGATGACACAATACACCATCATGCCGACGGGCATAGGCGACAGTCTCCAGTTTTGTCATTACACTCTGGATAACTTGAAGTAGCCTAATAAACATCTTTGCCGAGAGTGGCACAAGCTACTCTAATCTAGTTGATCGTTACAGTTACCAGTGTTTCCAATGGAAATCTAGAACAAAATGTACATGTACACTTTGCTTTTCGCGCCAGAGTGTACAAAGTGTACCAAAAGCAAATTTTAAAAATCTAAAAAGCACAAAATAATGTTGTTTTTTCCACAAAAAATATTAACTAATCTTTGATAAATGAATAAATGATATATAGATGACTATCTCATAATCTGACACGTTCCGTGGCAAAATTACAAAAAAAGGTTTTCACAAAAACAAAAAGTTAATATATATTTTTTTCTAATAGTATATTCTAAAAACATGAACTATTTTCGTCTTCATCTTGATCATGATGCAAAAAGGATGTAGAGAGTTTTGCGCATTCTAACGTGTGTCCCATGAAGAATGACCCTCTCAGTATTTTCTCACCAACTTCTTTATTTTTCAGCTTTCCGGTTTCAGTTTATGTCCTAAAGATCCACCATCCAATTCTACACAAGACTTGTATCAAAATTTTTTCTGAAGAAGGTTGACCAGAAAAGTAAAACAATAATGCTGAACAAATAGAAAATAACTAACTTTCAAAGCTATTTTGAAAATAAACTTCAGAAGATTTTTGTACAATACTAAAATCAAAAAAACCAAAGTCAAGAGGCTTTTGAGTACTTTCAAGTTTGCTCTTTTTTTCCTGCAGCACAACGTTGGTTTCCAATTCTAGAATAAGAAATCTGACTTTTTATAGTAGGATTCAAAATGTCCAAAACTCACTATTTTTTGCCAAAGGAAGAGAAGAAGTACGTTTAGATTGACTTTCGTCTCTGTATCTGATATAATAGTCACTTTTTATCGAAATAAGGAAAATCTGAACCCAAAAGATACTATTTTGGCTTATTCACGCCTCTTTTTTCAAAAGCTCCGAAACTGCAGTTTGAAACAGCTAAATTCTCACTAATCTGAAAAAGATATTATTGGTGAACGTCACAAGAATGAGCATATCCATTTTCAAATTAGAATCGTTCGATAGAGCTTTTTGAGGGTTACAAAATGCTTATGTTATTCTATCCGTTTTTATCGTTAATAGCTTAATAGAAAAAATGAAAATGTTATCGAGGAAACATTGTGAAGGTTATTCTTTATGGGACACCCGTTAGAATCAAAGTGTAAATTCTTTTAGCAAGATGTACACTGTACACTTCGCTTTTCTGAGCAAAGTGTAAATCAGAGTGTACATAAGAACTAGCAGATGTTCTGTACATTTTACTTTTGCTGTGTACATCTGCTATTGGAAACACTAGTTGTTACTGTTCAATTAAATAAACTAGATGACGTTATATCATAAAGTTGAACAGTCGACTTTTTACGAATAAGAAATCATCGGCTCAGCGAATTTTCCAGGCACATGCTATTTGCAAGCGTGTAAATAGAAAATAATTTTTCTTATGTATGACAAACTAATGCTTTTGTGTATAAACAAAACTTTTAGTTTTTCTATCCATCATTTCAATTGATTTGGAAGTCAATATTAGAGTAAATCGGCGCATATAAACTCATATTCTTGATGGTGGCAATAATTGCCTGTATGAAAATACACTAGAAAACTCATTTCTTCTGCTTTTTATGGATTCTTCGAAGTAAATAGAGATTTAAATTTATATGAAATTACCGATGAAAAAATGTTTATTTTTCATGAACTATATTTGTTAACATATTGAATTGCGTCCATAATAGAAGGAGAGAGCAAGCGCGAGTGAAGAACTAGTGTCTCTCTTTCAAAGATTTGAAAAATAATAACATTATATGCAAAAAACAAGGGGTGTCAAATAAAAATCGATTATATTCGTACAATTCTTTTCATTTAAAATCGTAATGTTGAGAATAGTCCACCATGGTTCCGACACGGTAAGTATTAAAATGATTTACTTTTAACAACAATATTTTTACTGAAAGTCTATGAAAATGAATCAATTTTCTTCCAAGTATAAGCAGATTAATTAGTAAATCAATTGTGTCGAAGTGTTGAAAAATTTAATATCTAAGTTAATACATGTTTCTATAGTTTACTTATAATTGAAAAATAAGTGAGTGATGAGTAAAGTTACCCATAAAAACATATTGTTGACGAATTTCATTTGTGATTTTGCTTCTTTTTTACTACGTACTAGTCCATGCAAATAAAGTATCACTATTGAAAAAAGAAAATGAAAAATTTGATTTGTTTAATTATCATCGATAAGATTAGTAATAAGAAAATTTTTTATTATCGATGTACTACAAATCAAACATTGAAGTAGACGCCTCTATAGAACTCCTATAAAGTATAGTTAAAATAATTTTATCCTTGTTGTTTTTCTTTCCTCATTATATTCTACTGACAATAGTGATCATGGTTACTTCTTGTGTCTGTAGACGTATTTCTTAAATTTCATTTTCTCATTATTATCCAACAATCGCCATAGAAAAGAAAACGGCAACTGTCTTTCAAATCAATTAACAAGTTCTTTGGTTCTTTTCGACCAAATTTTTTCATCAGTCATTCGTCGTTTCTTTTCATTTTTCTATTAACACTAAAAGGCTTCGCTTGCTGGTATATAGTTGCAGCTCGAATAAATTATATCATGAATACATTTGCGACGATTTTTATTGTTGACATCTCTTTGGGTTTTTTTCTCTCTCCTTTTATTTGTTTCTTCGCTCATCAACACATACTTCAATTATTGAAATCAGTAGCTACAACGACAATGTTAGACTATCGTTGATCAACATCTGTAATAAGCTGCTTTTAGAAATCGTTCTTCAGTGATTTCTTCAATCAACGTGTAAGATTAGAAAAAATATATATGTACTGTATAGAAATTTTATTTTTCGATTAATATCTCAGTGGGTAGAAAATTATCAATAGAATTTTAGAAAAAGTAACTTATTTATTTTGACAAAAATATTTTTCGAAAAAAAACAGTGAATGCATAGGCAATATCAAAGTTCATCATTATGTAAACATTATTTTGAATTTTCTTTTTTTGTTTAAATTTACATGATTTTCTATACACGTAGGAGCTATCAAATACTGATAGAAGTATGCGCTATTTTATTTACTATCCACCAAAGCGATCTATACGATTAATTGATGTTAGTGAAAATGTTCTTGTGGAAGATGTTCTTACATTGGTAAAACAAGAATTTAAGCTTAATACTCAAAATATTGGTACAGCTGAAACATCGATTGTTCTTAATTATAATGGTTCTGATCTTAAACCTAACTGGTCATTAGTAGATTTGAGTATACCATCGGGATCCATTATACGTTGTTTATATCGCGAAGAAAAAGCAGCTGATCTTTATGTTTTTTGCAGTTATAATAAACAAATATTTAAATTATTTGATTCATCAATCACAACAGATACAAACATTAGTACAGTACGAAAGAAAATTTCCGATAAATTAGGTTTACCATTAAGCGTATATTGCCTTGAAACGTATCATAATAAACAACGTTTATATGATGAAATGAAATTAGACAGTTATGATATTAAAATGCACGATCATATTTATTTAAAAGTCTGGCGAGGATATGAAAAACTTCTTAATGCTTGCATTAAAGGTTTTACGGAACAATATGCAAATGATGATCTTACAAGACATTATCAAACACAAGTCGCATTATATATTGCAGCTTTTTATGGTAGAATCTTAAAATCAAAAATAAATTGCTTTTCAACATCAACTTTTTATTTAAGGTCATATGGAATTAGCTAGTTTCTCTATGCAACAAGGTGCTCGAAGTGATCAACCCGTCGGTGAACATCCATCTCGTCAATGGTCATCGAAAGTATCAAGTCAAGTTTTACCTGAACTACTTAAATGTCCTATACATATAGCTGTTGAACGAGGACATGTTAAAATTGTTGATCTGTTCGTCAGACAATCTATTATATGTACACAAGTTCGAGATCCAATATCAAATCATTTACCTTATCAGTTGGCATTATCGTGTTCATTAAAAACAAAAAATAGAGAAGAACAACAAGCTTACCGAGTTATCTATTTTTATTTACACGATAAAGAGTTTAATCTTCGAATACCACTAAATGCCAACGGCGAATATGTTTCAGATCTACTTACTTCAACTATTAGTGCCAATGCAGTTCATCGTCGATTATCAAATTACGTCTATGTTTCATTACCATTCTATTGTAAGATTATCCGGTAAATGAGAATATCGATTGTCTGTTATCATATTTATATTGAAATTTCTTTTTGTAGATGGTATGAGCGTGCTCGTGAAAAAGTTTGGAAAAAATATGGTGGACGTTTATTATATAATCCATCACAAGCAAAACGTATATATCCCACACAAGGTTTACTTGGCTATAAAGTTTTAATTGATGGCTTTAATAATGCATTCGATGTACCAATAGAACAACTTCGAAATGTACGATCAGGGGGCACTACAAAATCCGACCGAGACAATCATTACAATACTTTGGACGATGATGAACAGGAGAAAATAAATAAAATGAAAATGTTCATTAAACATTTTGCATTAGATGATAGAAAACGTGCAAAACAAAAAGCTGCTGAAAATCTCCAACAATCGCGTCGTCCTCCATTATTATTATCATCATCACAGACGACATTGAGCAAAAATAGAAGCTTACCAAAATCTTCAAAAACGATTTCATCGTCATTCGAACTTTCAAATAATCAAAAACAATCAAAGAATATAGATTTAAAAGCATCTCAACTATTACGAGGAAATAAAAATCTATCAGCACCAAATGCATTTACAAAGCCATTAGAAGGTAAAAAATCGTAACTGTCGATCTATGCATGATTTTCGTTGATTTAGATAACCGTATATTGAGTGATCAAATTCAACGTGTAAGAAATCCGTCGGATGAAGCATCTACTACGTTATCATCACAATCGTCGAATCTCGACGGTGAAGATCAGTACGCTATACCTGTCATTATGTCACCAACGCTTAGTACACGAGTATCTCATTCATCACTAACAAATAAATTAGAAGCAGTAGCGACTGCCAATATAAAAGATTCTCAAGTTATGATGTCATCTGCGGATGCTTACACATTTTCATCATCACGTATTGCATTAGAAAAAGAACAACGGAAAATAGCAAAACGACAAGAATTATTTGCACAAATCGAACAAACACAACATCATCAGTCGAAAGAAACAAAAAAACCAATGTCAACTTCAGTTTCGAGTGATCGAGAAGTCATTGATATTGGTACATATATTCCATTACCTGATCGTCCAATAGTACAACGTTCAAATGTATTTAAATCTCGTCGTGATTGTGAACTTCGTCAAGCTACTGTTGAATCCTATGAACGTTACGCTAGTGCAAAAACACGATCAACAGCTATCCATTGTTTACAAGAAGCTGGTTGTTTTAAAGGAAAATCATGGCTACGACAAGTTGAAATTAGTAAAGAAATGATAAAACACACTGTTAAAAGACGTATCCGTCGTGCCAACGATGAAATAAATAATAAACCTCTACTATTGCCTCATCATAACAATACTGCACCAACATCGGTTACGTTACATCGATCGAATACAGTTACAGTTAATTGAGTTTAAAAAAGAATATTTTCTTCGGTTTATTTTTGAATAAAAAAAAGACGCAAATAATACATTATTTGGAAAGGGTTAAAGATCTAGGTAGGTTATCAATTAGATAGGTACCTTATTTTTTCATTAAGAAGAAAATACGTTGAATTATGAGCATGTATGACATACTAAAAGATACCAAAAGAAAAACAAGAAACGAAGTTTGTTTTCTACTATTTTACTTTCAACTTACCCAAAGCAGAGCCAAGTTTTCTACATGGTATTCTTAAAAGTTTCTTACGGCATCGATTACAATGAGCACAATCAAGATGATAATAACGTGTATCATGTTTAAACGCTTCTTCTTCACTTGGTACAGGTCGTGTACATTTGTCACATATGGGTATACGACCTGCTTGATCGCATTGTACCATAGTTATTTCGCCATAGGTATTTTCTAAACAAGGCGCATGTTCTTTGCCTTGATACATGCCAGTGACATGCTTCGAACATGTTAAACATTGAAATCGTCCATCTAACATATCGACGAAATTGTGACCTAGATTTATTTTAATAGAAATAAGAAAACAAAAGAATACTAGAAAAATGTTGTACCATCAGGAATAACTGCAATACATTTGCAACATCTATAAAAAAAAGCACTAATAAAAGTCGCCAATCATTCAAATCAAAATCTCTACCGGAAACAATCACCATGAAAATGACGATCTTTATATCGTTTAGCTGTTGTACCCGATGGAATCTTTTGATTACACATAATGCAACTAGAACGAGCCAAAAATTTTATTGTAGAAAAAAAGTTTTTTTCTAATTTAAATTTAAAATTTTCATCTATACATAGGAGCAAGTGCATTATTACACGATTCACATTGAAATTGATTATTTGGTTTTGGATAGAATGGTTTTCCAGCTAGTGAATTGCCGCATTGCGAACAACAAAAACATTGTGGATGATAATATCTATCTTGATAGATTTGCATTGGATCTCGTGGTGTAAAAAGTTTTCGACATGATTCACAATAAGTTTTCGCCAACGGACGATTTGTTGTTGGGCCACCCGACATAGTCTTTTATGTGTATCTAAAACGCAGAAATCAATGATGAAAACGATACGTAACATGATAAAACGTAGCACAAAGAAGGATGTCATGTCGATCTTTCTTTTTCTACAGCATATTTTTCTTTTATGCTACGGGTGCGGCTTTATGGCCTTTCACACTTCTCTTTCTGATATTTTCCCCTCTCTTTCTGTAAAGTAGTACGGAGGACTATATTGATAGCTATATTTGCCTCATAATAATTCCTGTTGTTGTTGTTATTCTTCTTGCTTTCTTTCTTTCTATCCCCCGAAATAACTCAGTTTTATTATTTTTTCTATGGTTGCTCACGATATCTACTATTGTCATACTGTTGTAAAGCATATGTAGAACTATCATACAAATGCCGATGGACGTACACAACAGGTCATATGACAATTATATGCGCGAATAAATCCTATTGCGCTCTTTCTCTTTTTTCGTATTCTATTGACTATTGTAATATCTATGATAATGAATACAATTGCTATTTGTTGCTATAATCTAGTCGTGTATCTTTCTTATGGCATATTGACTTCTATTATATGATGGTATAAGATCAAGTGATCGAGATGCATACATTAACCGACAGAGTGGACAAGGACGTTCTCGTTCTGCCACTTTTTTTGTAGCAAATGAATCCCATACATGATCCATTACTTTTTTCTTCTTTTGAACAACACAGATAACTCCCTAGGATACAATAATGTTTTATCCAAGAAAATTATCTATGTTGATTAACGACATTAGATAAAATATATGTGCTGACAAGGTTGTTACTTTAGTGTCCATTCAGAATCATAAACAAATAGTATGTTTACAAAACAATGGAATAAAAATAGAATCTAGAGGATTTATTTTAATATCAGTAGAATTATCTACTATGGAATGTATTGAATTGCTATATCAGTTAATGTTTTCTGTCATCGAAGTGATTGATGGTTTCTCTGGAAAAAAAAATATTTTTTTTTGTTTTTCTGTCTTCGTTTTTCATAATAATAGCATGTATTAATAGAACAGTTGTTTATTATTCAGTATGTTTTATTTCTGGAAAAAAAGAAGTTATATCATAATTTTTAATTCTATGGCAAAGATCATGTTTTTTTTGTTTTGTACCACACTGATTCTAATTAGTCTCATCTAACTAATATAAATGCACTACATCGGATGACATTGCTCATTATCTTCATATGCTCTGATGAGAATAAATAGATCACACCGTAGGGTTCGCCTGAACTCCAGTAAACTTTTCATTCGAATCTTTTAATATCTAGTAACTATTTTGTAAATTATGAATTCAGATTGGTACTGATTCCAGATTGTAGTCCTGACGAAGATTTTCTTCATTTGATAGTTGATGTAATATTATCTTCTTATCACATTGTATATTTTTTTTTATGGTTACAACGATTTATTTAATTATCATCATAAGTAAACAAATCTGCACAGGAAAAAGAACGGAGGAGAAAAACAGAGAGAGAAATGAAAAAGCAACGATGGAAAAAAAGGGGAAAAATACGGAGAATGAAGGAGATTTAGGATCATAGAAAGGTTTAGGATTCTTGACATCAGTCTTATGCCCTAACGGGAAAAGTTTTGATTAGAACTGGGTAGAATACTATGTGGTGTCCATTTGTAGTTGAATTCGTAGTAAATTTCACATTGTATATATTATAAGAAAACTTCAATATCAATCATGTGCTAATATTGCATTTCATATAAATATTATAAAAAAAAATATGAAATCATTTTCTGACGCATATATAATTACATCATAATTCCTTTACGTTACTTAACCATTTTACTCATTCATAGAATTATCTTCAATGGGTACAATAAAAGCTATATTTTTGCATATTAGTATCAATGGTTAACGACATCTGGATGCTTGAATTTGATTATTAGAAACTAAATGACTGAAACAAAAACAAAAAGCAATCATATCATTATTATTGTTATCCATTAAATAATTTGAGGATTCTCGATCGAATATGTTAATACGATTTTCTTGATCATTTTTTTTCTTCTATTTTCATTAGATACTTGATCAAATATATTCTATCAAGAATGGTACTTGATATCGATTTGTTTCGATCTGAGAAAGGTCATGATCCACAAGTCATTCGTGATTCTCAAAAGAAACGTTATAAACGAGTTGAACTTGTTGATGATGTCATTCAATTTGACACTCAATGGCGTACAGTTCGTTTTCAAGCTGATCAATGGAATAAAATAAAAAATCTTTGTGGACGTACAGTTGGTGCAAAAAAACAAGCCAAAGAAAACGAAGGCGATACAGATCAATTACCTGAAAAATTTCAAATAAACCTTGAAACATTAAATGCTGATGTACTTACAACATTATCAGTTAAACAATTGAAACATGTTAGCTTATTAATTGATCGAGAAATTGAAACAACAAAAGAAAAATTAATTAAAATTGAAAATGATCGAAATGCTGCTTTACATGAAATAGGAAACATTGTTCACAGTTCTGTACCCGTTAGCGATAATGAAGTATGATTTTTTTTAAATGAATTTTATTTTTATGAAATTTTAATAGATAAATATTATTGTTTAGGATAATAATAAAACAGAACGAACATTCGGAGATGTTGAAACACGAAAGAAATATTCACATTTCGATTTAATGTATATGATTGATGGGTATGATGGTGACCGGGGAGCAGCAGTTGCTGGGTCTCGTGGCTATTTCATGAAGGTTGCGATATATTACTAAAATTTATTTTTCCCATATTTTATTATTCCAGGGTCCTGCTGTATTTCTTGAACAAGCAATTATTCAATTGGCTTTACGTTTATTAAATGATAAAGATTTCGAAATACTTTATACACCATTTTTTATGCGAAAAGATATCATGCAAGAAGTTGCTCAATTAAGTCAATTTGATGACGAACTTTATAAAGTATATTTGAGTGATTATTTAATCAAAAGAAAAGGAACATTTTGACATACTTGAATTAGGTTGTCTGTAAAAATGATAAGCCTGATGAACCAAGTGATGAAGAAAAATATTTAATTGCAACATCAGAACAAGCTATTGCTGCTTTTCATCGGTTAGCATTTTCTTTTATTCTTTGAAGAAAATTTATCGTAATTTATTTAGTGATGAATGGCTCGCAGCTGAACGATTGCCAATTCGTTATGGTGGCATTTCTACATGTTTTCGACAAGAAGCTGGTTCGCATGGCCGTGATACACGTGGTATTTTCCGTGTTCATCAATTTGAAAAGGTTTGTAAAAAAAAGTTTCTTTATTTCTTTTTATACTTATGACGTTATTTTCTTTCGAAATCTATGTAGATCGAGCAATTTTGTATCACGTCGCCACATGATAATGAATCATGGAAAATGTTCGAAACAATGATAGGCAATGCAGAAGACTTCAATCAACAATTGGGTATTCCTTATCGTATTGTTAATATTGTTTCTGGTTAGTAGACAACGACAACAAGAATAGAATAAAGAAAATATACAAATGCTTATTTTTTGTTTTTCTTAGGCGAATTAAATAATGCAGCAGCAAAAAAATTCGATTTAGAAGCTTGGTTTCCTGGTTCGGGTAAATTTCGTGAACTTGTTTCTTGCTCAAATTGCCTTGAATATCAATCAAGACGATTGAAAATTCGTTATGGTCAAACGAAAAAACTCAATGAATCTGTAAGTCTCGATTTTTCTTTTCTTGTGCTTCTATACTTCTTGTTTTTTTAGTCCGAATATGTTCATATGTTAAATGCAACAATGTGTGCAACAACACGAACTATTTGTGCCATTCTTGAAAATTATCAAACTGACGATGGCATTGTTGTACCCGAAGTACTTAAATCACTTATGCCAAAAAGTTTGCTTATTTGATTTAATTTAATATTCGAATGATTTATTGTTTTCAATTTTACTTTATAGAATATTCGGAAAAAATTCCATTTGTTAAAGAAGCACCAGTTGAACAAGAATCGAAAACAACGGCTGCAGCTAAAAAGAAATAAAAAGCAAATCTAGTTTAACTATCAGACAAGATCGATTATCAAATTTCATTTTGCTTGTTTTGATTGTATTTTTTTGACACATTTTTAATTATAATGTGATCATATCGAAAAATAAAAATAAAATAAGACGACAACAACAGAAAAATATTATTCATTTTGTTTTTATCTGATAATTGAAAAAACATGACTTGAGAGTGTAAGTGGGAGTTTTAGTTTCAGTACCCGTGTTTTCAACCGTCTATATAGATTTCATTACAGAAGATGTCGCATTTAACAAGTAACGTATAGTGTCGTATATTACCAACGAATCATAAGTACGCGTTTTCGATCTTGCTCAAGTAGTATAAAACTTTCGTAAATTGTCATCATATATGATCTCATTATTTATCATAGATTTTTCCATATTTTTCTCTTCAACCTTCCACAATATTCTCGTCAATACTCCAAACTTCTCGATCACACTAGGAGAAACTCAATTTTATACTATATAAACCATGCCTAAAAAGCACGATCAACATACTCTATTACCCGAAACTTCTCGTTCTATTCAAAATAAATGGCTCGCGCTATCGGCATCGATTTGGGTACAACATACTCCGTAAGTTATTTATAGGTTATAGAATGCCATCTTTTTAATTCTCTTTTTTTTCTTGTTAATAGTGTGTTGGTGTATTTCAACATGGTAAAGTTGAAATCATTGCAAATGATCAAGGTAATCGAACAACACCATCATATGTTGCATTTACGGATAGTGAACGTTTAATTGGTGATTCAGCTAAAAATCAAGTAGCTATGAATGCGAGTAATACAGTTTTTGATGCTAAACGACTTATTGGTCGTAAATTTGATGATTCCACTGTACAGTCTGATATGAAACATTGGCCATTTAAAGTAATTAATCAAAATGGTAAACCAATAATTCAAATTGAATATAAAAATGAAACAAAATTATTCACTCCAGAAGAAATTTCATCGATGGTTTTAACGAAAATGAAAGAAACTGCTGAAGCATATCTCGGGAAAAAAGTTTTACAAGCTGTTGTTACTGTTCCAGCTTATTTCAATGATGCACAAAGACAAGCAACAAAAGATGCAGGTATGATTGCTGGTCTCAATATTTCAAGGATTATCAATGAACCAACAGCAGCAGCAATTGCTTATGGTCTTGATAAACAAGCATTAGCGGAAAAAAACGTTCTCATATTTGATTTGGGTGGTGGTACATTTGATGTATCTGTACTTGTGATTGATCATGGTATTTTCGAAGTGAAATCTACGGCCGGTGATACTCATTTAGGTGGTGAAGATTTTGATAATCGTATGGTTGCCCTTTTTGTACAAGAATTCAAAAGAAAAACAAATAAAGATATGTCACAAAATACAAAGGCGATGCGTCGTTTACGTACGGCATGTGAACGAGCTAAAGTAAGTTGAAAATTTTTCTATGTTAGTAAATATTTTAATTAACTGTTCTTTTTTCCTTCATTTTTTATAGCGAACATTATCAACAGTCGCTCAAACGACCATTGAAATCGATTCACTTCATGAAGGTATTGATTTTAATACATCTATAACACGTGCTCGTTTTGAAGAATTATGTGCTGATCTGTTTCGTGCAACACTTGAACCGGTTGAAAAAGCATTGCGTGATGCTAAAATGGACAAATCAAATATTGAAGAAATAGTTCTTGTCGGTGGTTCGACACGTATTCCAAAAGTACAAAAATTACTTCAAGACTTTTTCAATGGTAAAGAATTGAATAAATCAATACATCCCGATGAAGCTGTTGCTTATGGTGCAGCTGTACAAGCGGCTATTTTAAATGGTGATAAATCCGACGAAGTCAAAGATGTACTTCTAATTGATGTTGCACCCCTTTCATTGGTAAGTGACAAAAATAAATTTTATTATTATTTATTATTACTGTTCTCTGTTTTTGTATAGGGTATTGAAACAGCCGGCGGTGTTATGACAACATTAATTAAACGTAGCACTAATATTCCAACACGACAAACACAAACGTTTACAACATATGCAGATAATCAATCTGGTGTTGATATTAAAATCTTCGAAGGTGAACGTGCAATGACAAATGATAATCATTTACTAGGAAATTTTCAATTAACTGATATTCCACCTGCCCCACGCGGTATACCAAAAATTGAAGTTACATTTGATGTTGATCCTAATGGAATATTAAATGTATCTGCAATTGAAAAATCATCGGGCCGAGAAAAGAAAATAACAATTCAAAATGATCAAAGTCGATTATCGAAAGAAGAAATTAAACAAATGGTAAACAATGCTGAAAAGTACAAAAAAGAAGATGAAATACAGCATGCACGTATAGTGGCAAAAAATGCACTGGAATCCTATTGTTTTAATCTGAAATCGACTGTTAATGATGATAAAATTGCATCGAAATTTTCAAATGATGACAAAACAAAACTGCAAGAAACGATTGAATCAACATTGAAATGGATTGAATCAAATCGGCTGGCTGGTAAAGATGAGTTTGAATATAAAATGAAGGAAATTGAAAGCATATGTTCACCAATCATGACTAAAATTTACAGTAAGTAACTACAAATTGATTAGCTATTGACACTAGATCTTTTCTGCATTTATTTATTTTAGAAAATGAAAATGAAAATGAAAATGAAAATGAAAATGAAAACGACACATCATCAGATCATGGCTCATCGAGACCCAATCGTAAAGGTCCAACTACTGAAGAACTTGATTAAATTACATAAACAAAGATATATTTTTCTTTTGTCATAAATAAATCTTTTAAAAGAGAACAAAATATTCTCTGAATCCGTATTGGTTTACCAACAGTGTAAAACAATGTAAAAGTAAATCTTCGTTTACGTTGGGGAGAAAGCAACAAAAAACTTAAGATGTAGGTTATTCATTTTAAAATGAAACAACTCTACTAACGATTCTTGCTGAAAGTTTAGAAATCATTTCAGTGATGTTTTATAAAAAAAAACACTTTGTATATCGTGAAAAAAAAGAATCATGATAAGATGAGTTTAGATATTTCTAGCAGATAACTACCCAGGAGAATCAGGATACGTCGGAATCGGTCGGAACCGATCGGTTCCGTTGAGTTCCGACGATTTCCTAACTAACGGATTCCGGTCCAGATTTTGTCGGACCATTTCTGATCAATTCCCATCGGTTCCGACGAATTCCGGGTCGAAATTTTGCGGAACTTGACGAAATTTTTCCGGCGGAAACCGGACCGGGATCCGTTAGTTAGGAAATCGTCGGAATTCAACGGAGTCGACCGAAAAGCAACGGAATGCATAGGATCCGATGCCGGAAACGATCGGATCCACTGGTCGGAATGAAGAATCTCCTGGGTAGAGATGAACACATCAAAATACGATCTTGAAATAGTTTCTTAACTATCGAATTGAATTAAGAGCGTAACTTCATTTGAATTATTAGATGAAGATAAGTTTTCGTTTACGATTGCTGGTTGAGTAGAATTTTCGATCAGATTCGTAACCACTGTTGGTCGTTTCACTAATGGTCGATTAACAATTTTATATTGTCAATTATAGAGGAAGTTTTTGAGTGCTTTAGTGAGATGATGTAAATCTTCAAATAGTATATCGTAAATGTGCCGATATTGATGGCATGCTTAGATGATTCTCCATCCTCCTCTTTCTGTTCTCTTTCCATTGTCCTAATATATCTCTCCTATATATACGTGTGTTAAGTATGAAATTATTACACTCTGGATATGTGAAGAAGCGAATAAACATCATTGCCGAGAGTGGCAGTAACCTACTCCACCTCTGTCCAGTTTGTCTTAATATATCCATCAACCTAGCAGAGTCATATTTATCGTTACATGGCGACTCTGGCAGACCTTGGCCGTTACATCTCGACCTCGGTTGTTGAATCCTTGTAGAATATGGACACACGTGATTTGTGAAAAAATCAACAACAAATCAACACCATAAAGCATCATTCAAAAATTTAATTCAATAGCAACGACGGTAATAAATAATGAGAGAAAGAATGAATGAATGAATGAGAAACTATATGAGTTGAAAGACACGGCACTGTCAACTGGCTGTAGTACTGATGTTGTTGCAGTACTAAGCAAACGGCAGTGTTACAGAACGTCACTGAACGTACTACAGAGTGGCCATTTTCCCGGCCAGCAGTGCGAGCCATCGGGTCGCATTCCTTGGTAACATCTGTACGTTTCATGTCTCTTCTTCTCAAATCTCTTCATTCATCCTTAATTTCAATCAGATTTGCTCCGTTCCGGTTATAACAAGCTGATGTTGATGACACTTGAACACTATTGCTCTACCATTCATAAGCAATTTCAATTCATAGATCGTCAAGATACCATGTTTACACCAGAGACCGAAACGAATGGTAAAAATGCCATTCGATTCGATTCGATTCGACTCAAATTGGGTTTACAAAACATGGTATTAACTATTACATAGTATTGCTGTTTTCAGACTGTCATCTTCTTAGAATGAGAATAGTCTTTCGATCTTCTATAGAAATATGTTGAATAAATATAATTTATCAACATATACATACGAATTATTCATTTTTTTCAAGAAGGAATACTTAAAATATAAATTAATGAACACATCTAAGTAGACTAATTAAATAAGTTTATTTTCTATAGAACGAAGAAAAATAATGCCATTGACTGTATATGGATCGATATTTACAGTTGCCCGTAGCCATACTTAATAAATAAAGAGGTTGATATCAAGACCTCAATCACACTGGAAATGTGAATAAATTTAAAGTCGTATTATGCAATCTAATTGATACATTAAGAGTTAAAATCACCTCTAAAATATTGCTTAACTCTTAATGCACCAATCACATGGCTTAATTAAACTATAATGTTAATTTACTTCTCAATGTGATTGGGGTCTAAATTGGCTAACGAAAAAAAGAAAGAACTTCTGTTGTAAATGGGCATTTCTCACACCAATTAAAGTGCACTTAACCATGGTAGCGCTATCTAAGAGAACAATAATGACCATTAAATGAACACGATTGACAGAAATCAAGAGAAACAGCGGACGTCCTTTTTCATTGGTCATCTCTTATACTAGTCAACTGTTCTCAACCATATCACTGTAGAAAAAAGAAAATGATTTTGAATAACCGAATGACACTGAAAAAAAAGCAATCTATTCGATTCGATCTCAAAATAATTTGATTCGCTTCGATTCGACCTCAGAATAATTTGATTCGCTTCGATTCGACCTCAGAGTAATTTGATTCGCTTCGATACGACCTCAGAATAATTTGATTCGCTTAGATTCGATTCGGCAGTTTTAGCGTTCTATTCGGAGTCGATTCGATTCGATTGATTTGATGCTTTATAGCGATTTCTGAGAGATTCGTTTTGAGCGCATCTATGGACGGCAATCATAAAGCGGACATATAGGGCATATAGGGCGGTGTGGGCGTGGGGTGTGTATTGATAGCGCTAAACCACACCAACATCAACTTATAAGAATTTATCTGTTCTCCTCTCTAAGATCCCACCACGAAAAACATCTGATCTTCTTTTTCTGGTACTGAAATGTTTGGTAAACCACAGTACCTCAATAAACTGAAACTACGGATATGTCCAATATTTTAGTAATTTCCATTAATTTCAAAGATGCTATTTGCTAGAAATAAGTATTTAAAATATTTATATATTTTTTTCACTACTTCATGCCAACTATGACTCAATGGCGACATGACTAAGATACTTTCATAAGTATTGCATCTATTTCATAGTCGGTATTAGAGATCCCGATGCCTTCTTGATGTTAATAACGAATGAGTACCATAACGATGGAACAACTTTTTTGTTGAAGAAAGATGAGTATATATAGAGGGAATATGTGTCAGGGAATGAGTAAACAAACGTCGATGAGTCAAGGAATAAACATATACCTGTAACAGTCGGCTTCAAGATAACGATCGATTCTAATGGACCTCTTCCGCTAAACACTCGTGAGATTTTCTACACTATCATCTTATGCACATAGTAACTTCCACCACAATCGAAATTGAAAAAAGCAATTACATTAAACCGATCACAAATACCGCACTTTCCAAAAGCAATAATCAGCCAAAACACAGCTTAAAATAATCACTATATATACAATCATAAGACGTTGTTTTCGGCCTTTCGAGGCACCCACATTTGAGATGTTATGTATGTGTGTAGACAATGTTTTCAGCTTTTCGAGGTACCCACACCCTTCTCCGTAGTTAGTCTCCGTTAAATTTTCATCAATTACGTCGAAACTATGAAGATGGCAAGACGTGTTTTAGGAGTAAGTTTCACACGGTTGGTGTTATGGAGTGAGGAGAACTGAAGTGACAAATGTTGGGAAAAGTGTGAATTTTCCCTGCATTGGTGCGATGCTCATAATGCCAGGAGTTCAGTTGTTGAAGCTGAAATTGATTTGGAGTATGCACCTTAGTGGGATGTAATTCTGTAGAAAATTTCGATTGGATTGAATGAATACGTTTTGAGATATTGCGTAACCAAAAGCGCATTTCGAGAAATTGAAAGTTGAAAGTTGAAGGTTGAATTCAACTGAAAATTCAAGTTTCAAGTTCGACGTGTATGTATATGCCTTATATGCTTTATATGCCCAATATGTCCTATATGCCTTATAATACAATCATCGCTGCTTGAATTGTTCAGTTTGACGGATAAGTAGTTTCAATTTCCGGAAATTCATTTAGTATGCAAAATACATTCAATCTCCCGGCTATGTCTATAACGCATCATATGATTCGATTCGATTTCGGTCTCTGGTTTACACCATCCAATTAATTGTTTGCAATGTTCAAATATTCGTCAATATCAGATGCGTAAATATGGTTAGAATAAAAAATTTAAAAAAGAAATAGACCATCTTCAAGATTAACACTGTAATGAAAAGTGTAAAAATATTTTTTCGATCGATTATCCAGAAGGCGTATTAATTTTTCTTGTATTCATGTTGAATTAGACGTGCTACTTTTGATAAAATCAAAAATAAAATGTAAGATTTTTTTATAAACAATTAATGTGTGGCTAAATTTTTCTAAGAGCTATGCTATCATTTTTTTAAATGTCCTATATCAATGATATTTTATTGAGACCAATAGAGGCGAAAATGCGTGATTGATAATGTCTGTGTTAAGAATTCTATGAAGCTTAACCTGTTAAATTTTTTTTTCTGATGTGAAAAATGTCGATGTATACTGATTAAAAGAGCGAAAATATTTTTTTGTCTCTCTCGTTCCTGTTGTATCCTGTTCTCTGTATGCTATCAATGTAATGCATATTGTAAGTGCTTAAAAAATGAACAAAAAGGGTTCTAAAAAGTTCGTTCGCCGTAAATTGTTGACCGCGATGTTTTTTTTACTGTATGTCGTAAATTGTTAACTTCGTGTATTATGATAATGCCGTTTGGCTGAGAAGGCTGCACTCGAATTGATTGTTATCTATTTTATGTATATACCTCGCGCATATTGCACGTAACTGTGAAAGAAAGTTCAAATGATGAACTGCTATTAGGGGTTGGCCATTTTTTTTAACGGAACTTAATTAATGGCATTAATTAATGGCTTCCATTAGCCATTCATCTTAATGGTTAATGAATTAAGTTTTTCTCAGAAAACATTAAACATTAATATCAATGGTTAATGAGAAACATTAAGATTAATATTAAATTAATGTTAATGGCCCACCCCTAACTGCTATTGTGTTTTTTTTGTTATTCTGTGTTTGTGTCGTTTTTTTCCTTTTTCTTTTCTTCTCCTCTATCTTTTCCATCTTCCTTTTTTTCGATATTGTAAAGACACTCAGGAGCGCGTCTGATCTGAGTGGGAGGGTTTGCCGATATTGACGGCACACTTCGATGATTCTCCTTCTGTTCTCTCTCCTATATATACGTGTGTTATGTATGAAGTTGTTACACTCTGGATATGTGAAGAAGCGAATAAACATCATTGTCGAGAGTGGCGGTAAGCTACTCCACCTCTATCTAGTTTGTTTTAATACATCAACTAGCAAGAGCCCTATTTATCGTTACAGTAAAGAAGAGGGCATGTTCGATTATGTAGACCAAATCGAATTTCAAAAATATAGTACAACGACAGAAGAAGACCAAGAAGTGTGAAACATGAAGTAGTTTCTGTTATTAAACAAATGTCCAGGTAAAGCTCAAATCGATCTTGAGGGTTGTTAGGATTTAGTTATAAATATTCGTTTATTTTATTTATAACAAAAGTAACAAAAACGAAACGGTAATCGACGATAACGATGACGATCATAAACGAACAACATAGTCGCTCCACTTGTCACGGAGACAACTCCATATCTTCACTCTTCTCTTCTTTCGGTTCTCTTCCGTATATACTAGATTATCGATCTATATTAATATATAACGTATGATCGAAAAATTTTTGGACAACTTTATGAAAGGTGAAACATATAGTATAAAAGCTATTGGAAGAATTCTTTCACGATTTGCATAGCTTGCAGTGTCCTCTATCTGTCATATAAATTTGACAGTTTTTGATTGATTGTTGTTCTCAAAACGATCGATCTTCGTAGACGTATGTTTTCTACCCTTGGACGGAAAAATAATTTGAAAAAAGTGAAATAGTAAAACATTTTATGTTAGAAGGTTTTAAAAGATCAACAATATATAATATAATAAAACGTTATGAAGTTGATCTACCAGTCGAAGATCGTCCAAGGAGTGGTCGTCCAACGTATTTCGAAAAGAAAAACTTGAATACGAATAGACAAAAAATTGTTAAAAGATATTGAAACTTTTTTCTCCTATTAAACAAAAGTTTAGTGTGAAACGTTTGATGTAAAATATAAACCAGTTAAGTCTAAATAAATTGCACGATTAAAGTACAGAAAGTGGTCTTTGTCTTCAATTTTTCTTAATTTTGTTCGTATGGTTGTCATCATGTGTTGGATAATCTTGATATCAATTTCTTTTAATTTCTTATTAATTCTCTTTTTTAATTGTAATTCATTTTTTGCCTCCCAACCTTTGTCATAGACTTTATCGGATAAGATTTTTATTATATTATATATTGTTGATCTTTTAAAACCTTCTAACATAAAATGTTTTACTATTTCACTTTTTTCAAATTATTTTTGCGTCCAAGCATAGAAAATATATATTTTCGAAGATCGATCATTTTGAGAACAACAATTAATCAAAAAATGTCAAATTTATATGACAGATAGAGAACATTACAAGTTATGTAAATCGTAAAAGAGTTCTTCCAATAGCTTTTATACTATATGTTTCACCTTTCATAAAGTTGTCCAAAACATTTTCGATCATACTCTACTTTGAAGGTGAATCAAATAGAAAGAGGTAAAGGAAAACAGCATAGAGGTTATTGGGACGATAGGCACCGTCCCATAACAAGGGTGTGGGTGTTACGTTAGACTTTATGAACTGACACTAGGGGTGTCACATTTTTATTTTGTATCATTTAAATTTAACTAAATTTTAATTAAGTTGTTTGAAATTCAAATTAGTTAAATTTTCAAAACTAGTAGATAAACATAGTTTTATCTTGATTGCTATTATTTAAAGTCAAATTTGACTATGTTTCTTGCTTTCTAAAGTTACGGTAGTCTATCTTCTATGAATTGTGCTTTTAAATATATTTTTATGAGTATCCCGGTATTTTGAAGAAGAAAGATGACGGATCCTTCACAATCTGTAGAGAAATTTTGACTACTATGAACAAATATTAACCTAAAATACTAGGTTCTATTCTCATTTAGTATTTACTGCTGTTAAAGTCATATATTTTCCTCATAGCAATGATGTGTATTCATCCAAAAAATTTATTAAATTTTAATTCTGAAAATTTAAATTTAACTTTATAGAATTTAATTTTAAATTAAATCAACTTTTCACGAAGTTAAATTTTAATTAAATACTGTAAATTGACACCCCTAACTGACATCCACATCCACACCCACACCCTACGTACTTCTATTAAGAAACTTCTTTTATATTTTCAGTGTTACCAGAGATAATTATATCCGTTAAATTCATTGAATTATATGCAAATATGTAGATTGAATGTTTCTGTGGGTGTTCGTAATGATAAGCTGGATGCTATTGAGTGTTAAAACGGACATTTCCCATGTTCGTAGTTATGCATAGTTCTTGGTCGATCACAAGTGTTACCAGTGAAAGGTTCCTTAAAAACGTCTATTTAGGGACGGGCACATATTGATGTCAGAATGTAGATTATGGAGTTGTATAAGTGTTCATAAGTGCAAGTTGGATGTTTGCATGCAATATAAAGAAGATTTTGGGTGTTCGCGTAAAGAAGGGCCATTTTTACTCTCTGCTGAGGTGTTTTTCACTATAACTGGAACAAGTTAGGGGTGAGCGGATATAACTCGCCAAGATGTGAGTGTTCGTAAGTATGACCTATATGTGATCTTACAAAGTTGGCTGTTCGTGGTGTTCGCGTAAATTAGTAATACCAATGGGTGGGTGGCATTAAGAGCCGAAATCGACCCCCCCTGTAGGAATTGGGATTTTCTCTATCTAAATTATCAAAAAACGATGCCGAAAATTGGTTTATAGCAGAATCTGTTCAATATATTAGATGTTTTGTAGTCACAGGCAGCTCGAACTTTCATACTCAACATGAGGATTTAGCCTTATGTTACGTTTTAAATACGCCTAACAACCACCGACTTTTTAACTTCTACCACTTCTCACTCACCAGATCTTGATCAGATGTAGAATTTCGTGTAAAAAAATTGGGATAAAAACCTTGGCCTGGGTGCCATGATAAGAGGAACAAATCAAATTTTTTGAAAAAGAATACAACTTCGAGACGAAGAGACTAACCGGAGAGCATCCATTTTAATCGGAACCAGGATGAATTCTGTATTAAAAGATAGATCTTGATCAGATCTGGTGTTTTAAGCAAAAAATTGTGGAAAAAGCGTTGGCAACAAAAAATTACCGTACGGATATCAAGCTATGTAGATGTTTTTATGTTAGTCTTCATGATTATGTTTCACATGCTGCTCGAAAAACCCTGGAAATCAGTAAAGTCAATACCATATTCAAAATCAACGTTCAAAACTGAGTAAAAACGCATAAACTTCAAAGAATTTTGACTACTTTTGTTTTTTTCCCAAATTACCCTCCTACTCCCTCCCGCTCATGGGTACGTGGAAAAGTCAATCGCATCAAACACATCTTGAAGGTTGTTGAATATACTGTTCGGTGGGTAAAACGAGATCCGTACTGAAAATAGTAGAAAATAAAACGATGGAACTTACGTTTTGAGACATTCCATTTTTCCACATACCCCTGAGGGTGAACTAGGGGGATAATTTTTGGAAAAAAACAAAAGTGGTTAAAATTCTTTGAAGTTCATGCGTTTCTACTCAGTTTGGAACGCTGATTTTGAATATGGTATTGACTTTACTGATTTCCAGGGATTTTCGAGCAGCATGCGAAAAATAATAATGAAAAATAACATAAAAACATCTACATAGCTTGATACCCGTACGGTAATTTTTTGTGGCCAACGTTTTTTCCACAATTGCTTTGCTTAAAACACCAGATCTCATCAAGATCTGGTGAATGAGAAGTGTTAGAAGTTAAAAAGTCGGTGGTTGTTAGGCGTATTTAAAACGTAATATAAGGTTAAATCCTCATGTTGAGTATGAAAGTTCGAGCTGTCTGTGCCTACAAAACATATAATATATTGAACAGATTTTGCTATAAAACAATTTTTAGCATCGTTTTGATAATTTTGGTAGAGGAAATCCCGATTTCTATTGGGGGCCGATTTCGGCTCTTAACACCACCTGTCCGTCCAGATGTGAGGCTGTGGATAAAGCTCTTTTCGATCCCATCACACCTACACCCACCTAACAGAAATGCGAGCATTGATTTTTTGCAAAAATATGCAGCGCACCATGTTTCGAGAATTCACAGAACTCTGCGCGATCTGAAGATATTCCCTAGTAAAGTATCACGAAATCACTTTTTCTCGAATGCTTCGTAATTATATCAATTAGATTTATTATTTTTGCTATTGTTCAATGGTTGTCTTACTCTTTGTGGGAGTTTTAATATGGTATTCAGGATCAACCGCATTTTCTTTATACCTGCAAGATTTCTTATACTCTGTACAAAATAACTACAAAAGTATCAGCATTTTTAAAACCATATGCATAGCCACGTTCATTCAATCATCCTCTTGCTGGGTGGGAGCAATAGTATTCTATACAATTGCACGTACGTGGGCTACTAAATCAAAGCTTCTATTATCGATTTTCGCTCCTGATAATGTGATTGCGTCATCCAATGATATCGAAAATGCTCATACAACAAAATACTTTTTCATTGCTGCTGGCATTCTACACGCAAGCGGAGTACTGGTGATGAATTTAACGCTGGCATTGTCAAATATCCCATGTGTTCATACAATTCGGTGCTTAGAACCTTTATTGGCTGGTTTATTCGTGCATTTTACACAGGTTTCTAGTACTCTTAACCAAAGTAGCAATGGTACGATAGTTAATAACACGCAATATTGGATATCGATCCTAGTAATGCTATTCGGCGTTGCATTAGCAACATTCCGGGGTGGACAATGCACTTCATTGGGATTTACGATATCACTCGGAATGATAACAAATATACTAATGATTACTCGTAATGTATGTATTCAACGTATTAGTAGACAATATGACTCCTTGTTGGCACAATGTGTAGTGTATACAATTAGCACAGTCGTCACAATTTTTATTTTACTGACGAGCAACATTTTCAACTTTCCATTCAAGCAATATGTATTTGTATTATGCTTAATAGGAATTTTCAGTTTCATTTATCACAGCACATCAATAGTTATATGCTCTATGGTAACACTAGTAGCACACAGTTTGTTGATGATTTTCAAAAGATTGATATTAATCGTAGTAGCTGCAATTTATTTTCGTTCACGTCTCAACTCACCAATGATCGTTGGAAGTTTAATTGCTGCCTTTGGACTAATACTTTATAAAGTCGATAAGGAGACATTAAAAAAAACATTATATCGGACTCGACAATTTAGTATCGGTGTTGTTTTCATCCTTTTGATACTTTGCACAGGAGCACTGGTATCACGAGTATTTAATTTTGGAAGTGCCAAAAATGCTTTCTCATTGAGAAGCAGTCCGATGAGGACAAACTTTTCACTTTTCTACTGGAAAATGAGTGGTGCAAACGAGAATTTCGGCGATAAATTGTCTCATATACTTCTAATGTCTATTGTCGGACCTAATCTCTCACTCATTACAGCGGAAGAGCAGAGCGCATATTGTAAAACACCAAAACTATTGGCAATAGGTAGTATATTTCAATTTTCGTGTGAAAATGATGTGATATGGGGTTCAGGTGTCCTGGATTCCGCCACGTTTCCAAGTAAATCATATTCAAAAATCATGCGAACACTTGATATCAGAGCAGTTCGTGGGCCAAGAACGAGACAATTTCTCATGTCTACTTTCAATATTTCGGTGCCTGAAGTATATGGCGATCCAGCCTTACTTTTACCGTACTATTTAACAGGATATAAAAAAGCGTCGATACCTACTATTTTGAGACTCCTCATATTACACTTTAGAGACGACACAAGAGGACCCAGTATTGCTGGAAATACGCCAATCGTAACTATCAATGCCTGCCTTCCATGGGATCAAATAATCAACTTAATTCTTCAGAGTGAGCTCGTAATATCAACGTCATTGCATGGAATTATTGCAGCTGAAGCATTCGGCGTACCGGCTAGAGTCTTAGTATCACCTCATGTTGAATTATTTAAATTCCATGACTATTTTGAAGGCACACAAAGAAAACTTCGATATGCAAACAACTTGAGCGAAGCGATCCAAATGGGTGGTGAAATCCCAATGAAACTTGATTTGACAAAACTACGAAATGCATTTCCTATGGATAAATTTGAAGCTAAATCGTAAAACATTCTCACGAGGAAAGAGGACTATTTTTTCTAAGTCCATCCGATTTCCATCCGGATGTTATGTGTACTTAAGAAAAACTATAATAAAATAGAATAGGTGACTAATCACATAGAAAATAAGGATATTTTTTGCATAACTCAACAAATCCTAAACAGATTGCTTTCATGTTCGAACACGACTGAGATATTTATGAGATCATTCTGTGTACAAAATTTCATGACAATTGGATGAGGCTTTCAAAAGTTATTGTGTTAACGAACGGACAAACACACTGACCGAATCTAAAGTGTACTCACTTTTTCAAGTACACAAAAAGAAGCCAGCACCACCACCACCAAGTAATTAAAGAGTCTGCTCAGATATTTATTGATATCTTACCAACAACGATTGAATATTTATACCTGTGTATACGTCAAATGAAATGCAATAAATATACCTACATTTTGTTTTTATGTGTATTTGTAAATGACAAATTATCCAGTGGCTTTCTTAGTTTTACGTAATTACGCAAAATAAAATAAAAATCATAAAACAACTTTATTTGATATTTTTCCAAAAAATAGTGTTAACGATTATAGGTTTCGAAATACTTTCAAGCTTGAACCTGTCTGGGGATGTATTTTGGTAGGATATTAATATAAGAAAAATTTCTTGTTATCGATAGAACAAGTAATACTATTGTTCCTTTTTTTGTAAAGTAACATATTCTTATATTGATTATTGAATGGGGATAGATGGATCACGCTTAACAGTTGTTGATGTTTTAATTATCGATTTGTGCTTAATTAACTCAGATGAATAAATACGCATTGAGAAATGAACAAATAGAGATTCGGCATCAATAAAAATGAACTACAGAAAGGTGTCCATTTCTTCTTTGTCGAAGCATGTACTACATATATTAATAATTGACGATTACTTCTAATCTTATAGTATGTAGATGAGATACTTGCACGGAAAATATGAAATAACATGATCATTAATAGATATAATCAATGAAAACTTAACAACTCCATCGTTGTATGCGATCTAATTCAGTCTAAAATATGCACAATATTTTCAAAGCAAGTGTGAACCTCAAATTTTGATAATTGACATCAATTACCATTCAGAAGTGGTTCTTTTCTAATAAAATAATTTAAAATTAATGCCCAATAAAGTACCATTATTTAAGAAAAGGGTCAGCGAATCTGGGCGATGAGCGTTATTTGTTTTTGGGATTGAATTTAAATGCAGCAGTATATTTATTCCAAATTTACCTGATGATGAGCCTTTAATCAAGGTTCGAAACGATCGTCGTAATTAGCTTGAAACTCTCTTATATATTCACACCCACACCCTGAATGCGGATGTGGTGAGTGAGTAGAATATACTGTTGTGCGACCCAAACCCACATCCATACCTCTCACACTCTCACCCTTTTCAACTTGTAGTCGGTTTCTGAAAAGCAAAGATTGAGATTAGCAGATTGATTTGTATCAAGATTGATATATGTCTGTCTGTTCTCAATTGATAAATACTCTATAGTCTAATGTATTCTCTCTAAACCCACTGTGTTTACAATGGCAATCATTTTTTAAATGAGCAACAGAAGAAATGTTATGGTGCCAGCTGAAAACAGAGTAACAGGTATCGCTGGTTGGCATGGACCTTCAAGTCTCCATTTTCCAATTCTAAATCTTCGCCTGGTCTCTGCGTTCTTCGTTACTCTTTGATCGTGAATCTTGACTCGAATATTTTGAACAGACAAACGCAGAAAACAAACAAAACACAGAGACACAATTGACAAAGTGACAGCCCAAAGGTGAATTGATACACGGTTGAATGGCAATATGTGGAATGATTCGAAGATGAATCAGTGAATTGAACTATTGATTTGAATGTTACTGCCCAAGTGAAACCCTTTGAATGTAGAAATGTAAAAAGTGAACTGCGGAGAGAAAGCGAACACTTACAACAAACGTCCAAGCAATTTGAAATAGAAACAAAATCATTTCAGTCAACATAAAAATAAATATGCTGTAACAAAATGCAGACTCAATTTGTTCCCTGTATTGATAGAGACAGATGCGGCGACAGCAGTCACAGGTGAGTTGCAATACATTGAACAATTAAAGAAAATATCAAAATTATTCAGCCCGTATTTCTTACCAGCAAACTCCATACGAAAACTATTATCAGTCCTCGAACACCACTGACTATAAGCCAAACATTGAGATTCGGCTGACACGGACACTGATTCAAATACCTGATGCCAACAATCAATTTTGCCATTGGTAAACTCGCTGTTATCAACAGTAATATAAACACTATCGTATTAAAATACATGCCCTCCACTTCTCTTATGGAAAAGTCGATAGAAAGAGCTGGTGTTCGCATTTTCTGTTCCCATTGTCGCTGGTGATTAATAGCAGCTGTTGTTGTTGTTGTTGTTGTTGTTGTTCGTAGTTGTGATGATAATTCCGTTGAATTAATATCAGCTGTAGTAATAGTCTCGGCTGACATCTTTAGTCTAAGAAGAAAGCTGTCCAGTGAAAGAAGTTACTTTGAACAAGCGCTATCTGTCCAGTTTTTCTTGTTTACTCTAGTCAAACATCTTTTGAGATGCGTATGAGACACTTGGTGATCTGGGACAAGAAAGTTATGCGCTATGGACAAATCTTGTAGTCTGTGCAGGTCAAGCGCATTAAAAAAAAACTTCGACTAGGGTATTTATAAAATACACGCTGTCGCAAACACTTATGAGAAACTGCTTGTATTTATTTGAGCAATAAGAAAAGTTCATTTGAGCAATTTAATACTATTTAATTTGCAATAAATAACTTATTAAATGCCAGTAATAATTTCATATTTTATCAATAAAAAAAGAAAAACAGCGTTATTTTTATTTACAATTGTGAATAAAAATAAATCTTGGGGGTGTGGGTGTGGGTGGCACAACAGTATATTCTACTCACTCACCATATCCACACTCACGCCCCGCACCCACACCCTCTACACTTGTCCCTCATTATAAAAAAAGGCGGTGCCCTTTTCATAGAGAATCTGACAGAAATTTATGGTTAAAGTCTATGCTCAATCAACTGTTAGGATGAAGACAAAAGTTGAAAATGGTTACTGGTCATATAAATACTGAAGATCCACCCGTTGTCGGTTTATAAAAATTTCGAGACATTTTTTAAAGTTGACTCATTCTTTTTGCCCCTTTTTAGTTGGTTTTTTTCCCGTGAAGAAAAAAGAAACCAACATTTGAGTGACGATTGAGATTATTGATGGATTACTGGATAGGTGTATATTCAGAAAAAGAAAAAAAGCTATTACTCTGAAATACAAATATTGATGAAAAAAGAGTATAGAGCAACGGCAGAATGTAAACAAAAGCATATGTCAGCTAAAACGAAAAATAAGAGAAGAAGAAAAAAGAGAAAGAAATATTTTTGCTCCTTACTGCATTAGGGCACCTAACGACAGGAATTCAGTTACCCAGCTCTCCGATGCAGTCAAGGGGGAAAAAACTGATTTCTTGATTTCTAATAGCGTCTAGTGATTTCCAGTGATTTCCAATGATTTCCATGATTTCCAGTGATTTCTAGTGATTTCCATGATTTCCAGTGATTTCCAGTGATTTCTAGTGATTTCTGGTGATTTCCAGTGATTTCCATGATTTCCAGTGATTTCTAGTGATTTCTAGTGATTTCTAGTGATTTCTATTATGTATCAAAATTCTTGATTTTGTTGATATAGTTAAAATATTTCGTCCTTATCTTTTGATGCTGGTATAATTAGCGATAGAAATTGAAAAACATATTATTTTAACTGAGCAAACTTATTATAATATTGAGCGAACTTTGTGATATGTTGAATGCATATCTAGTATTTTTATTTAAAAAATATTAACAAAATAAAGTTGTTAATTTTCTTGAACACGTGACAATCGATCAGCGGGCAATGAGCTTTTATCTTTTTCCAATAACCAACATGCAGTTTGTTTATGAAGAAATTTAATTTGATTGTTAAGTGTTACCCTAAAATATTTTTCAGCATGCTCCTGTTTTACATCATCAACTAATCGTACACCACGATGTACAGATGTTGTCACATTGTATATCGAATCCACACCGTTGTCGAAATCTAAATCTTCATCAGTGTCATGATTACTTGAAGCATCATCTGCCATAGTATCGCTTGTTTCACTATCCGATTCAGTGTCAGAATCGTCATTCTTATTAGCATTTAATTCTTTTGTCCATGATCGTTGAAACTGTTGAGAAATATTCGCACTCAGTTGTTTAATTGATAAAGTTTGTTGATTACGAAGCCATTGATGCAGATTAAGTGGACTCATCAATTTGATTACATATTGATATGCGTCGTTGACCTTTTTTTCAATATCATGTTTAGAAAAAGAAATTGTATTTTGTTGAGTTACATTATTCCTGGAAATTTTCGATTGTTTGTGATGTTGAGGAAAACGTAATTTATTTTCACCAACATTGTTTTTAATGCTTTGTAACATGGATAATTTTTTAATGCGCGAAAGAAATTGAAAAACAGTAAAATTCACACCTCCAGAACATGTACTTGATATCGATCTTGCTGACCTGAATGTATTTTCACATGTTTGAGAATTTTGCAAATAAATGGTGAGAGATTCAGCTGAAATTTGCCCTTCAGAGAAAAGTACTGCAAGATATACGAGACTATGAGCATTGATCTCAACCGAGAAATGTGATTGATACGTGATGAAAAAATCACGTTTTGTTTTGTTTTTGTTTTCCGTTGGTGTAAAGTTAGAATTAGAATGTTGCGCAACAAATAAATCGAGGGTTTGTCGATCCATTGAATTAATCCACATAGACCAACATCGAAAAATGAAAACTACTACCCATGCATGAAATATACGATCAATTACATTTGTCGTTTTTTCTATATAAGCCAATCGAATATTTTTGATCACCTGAAATTATAAACTGCAATGAATAACTATTTTATTTAAAAAAAGTATTTTTGATGATGGCATATGGTTTTAACAAAATTAGTTTCTTGAGCTATTTAGAGTCTATGTTTTTCAGACTGAATGAAGTTCGTTTCGATAGTGTGTGAAGGTGAAACTGTTGAAATTATATTAGATCCTCGTGAAAAAGCAAGCTATGGTTAACAAGTTTTGGTGAGTAGCACTCAGTTTACTTTAGACTTAAGAATCTTTTTTTTTTAATTAAATTTGATTAAGTATTTATATTCTTTTTTAATAAGATGTAAAACTGCTGTATCAGATGTTCATCTATTCAGCAACATACCTGCAAATAAATACTAATCCCAAAAGAATTTGAAATATTGTCAAGTAATTTTAATACTTTGTCATTTGAAATTTTTTCGCATGAACCGTAGTTTTGTCTGTCTTTCTGATTGACATCAGATTGTACAAGTCCATGATCCAATTTAGAAAAGTTGTCAATTACATAATACAATGGTTTTAGATTGATAATTTGATCCCCCAATACCAATGTTGCTGTTTTCGAGAGAAGCCTGTTGCGCAGTTTTGTACAAATATGCATCGGATCTTGCATACAAATAAATAATTGTTTATTGCGCATTAGAAACCAATTCCAACTACTCGGAACATCAATTTTAAAATTGTCGGGATGACCATCATATATGAAATCGCCAAAAAATCCCAGAGATAGTTTCATTGCATTCAAATAGCGACTATCACAGTCAGTCGAAAACCCAATAAGACGAATTCCATTAGCTTTACATCGATGGTAAATACAACGCCATCTAGAAATAACATCCGTTGCTTTAAATGTATTATCGGTGCCGTATGCCGCAAGAAGGTACGGTGAGAGATTTCCAGAAGAATAAGAAAGTGGTTGAATTAAATTAGCAACCAGTAATTTTGCCATCGACTCATTCAAATACCAATTTTCTAATTGACTAAAAGAATCCGTTGAATATAAACTGGGGATGGGCAATCCATTTTGATCAAGTGGAAGAGAGAAACCTATGAACATATTTGATGTACTATCATATGTTATTTTCAGAACGATCGTTGTTGAATCTTCAGCACAAAAAGCTAATGTCGATTGTTTCGAGCTAAAGTAATCACGAACACGAAGAAAGTCAAATAAGCCTTCTGTGAGATAATGTTGTGATGAAATAATGGATGCTTGTATAACTTGTGTACTTGGAATAAACGCAGGAATATTTAAGCGAACAAATTCATATGCAGCACGACCACCAAGAATGTATAAGCTGGAGGCAAACTGTCGAATTATATTATCATAACGATAACCCCTCTCGTCCATCGTTGCATTTTTTATGATATTATTCATCATAATATTGAAAAATGTAAAATCAATTTTACTGTTGATAATAAAATTCGAATAGTTCATGAGAGTAAGAAGAAATGGAAATTTTTGAACTAGAATTTCAGGAATTATTAGTCCAGTAGAACCATTTGAATTAAAATGCTGAAATGAATCAATTAAATGCTGTTCATTAAGACGATAAAGAGAACGAGTAAATACATCGACCTTGTACATAATTCCTTTCTTGATGATAAAACTACCGTCATTCAGCACAATGCCTGCCTTCTTTTTCAATGGAATGAGCTCATTGGAATCGAGCTCTAAAAAAGTAAAGATGTTGCGAACGTCAAGAAGACAATCAACTGATGAAATATCTTGAGCTTGGATTATCTCGAGAACCGTAGAACCACAATGCTCTTCAACCAAATCGTAAAATGCTTCATTACGAAAAAGCAAAACTTCTTGATTTAAATTAATTCTAGACAAAGAATTCGACATCTATCAAAATTTTCTAAAAAATACATTATTACAATCATTTTAAGAAATTTGATCTACAGAATTTATATCAAAACATTTGTTTTTAACTGCAACGCTTTTTAAGCTATTCGATGAGAGCAGATATCGTGATGCATTTATTATATCTTATGATATATTATTTTAAATGATTTTTATCTATTTATTTATGCTGCAATTATTCTTCATACTCGTGTTGCAATTTATTTTAAATATTATGTTTGAAAATTCTTTTTCAAGCAAATAGATTAACTCAGAAGTTCTATCGATTTTATTTCACATCTAGTATATGTATATGTCTATATGTTATGATACAAAAAAAACTTGAAAACAAGACCGAAAACAAATTAATCAATATATTGCACATAAAATTAAAGTTAAAAAAAATTTACGTTTATAGTTTTTTTTTCTTACGCGAAGATGAAAGAGATGATTGATTTTTGCGTCGTTTTCCAACAACTGTTTGAATAAATAGAGTTGAATTTGAATTATCGCTAATTATTGGATCATCCGCTTTATTTGAATTATCTATATTAGAAGCATTATCCAAAGAGACATTTCCATCAAGATTTTCCAGTTTTTGTCGAATCATTGTACACGAATTGGATTTAGTTAAATGACGGATATAATTTGACAACTAAAATAACAACAGATATCAATATATAATCGTATGAATTAGTCGATATAACAAACAACGACCTAAGTTAATAGGAACATCTCGATGTTTGTCATATTAGTAAATCAAAGTAGATCAATTTCAAGCTGACATCAATCTTATGTGTTTCAAGCAACTAGCTTTAGTAACGCATAATTTTAATTCAAAATAATTTAGTTTAATGATTTTTACTGAGGAATATGGAGTCGAAAAGAAGTTGAAATCTTTTGTATTTAGTATGGAAACAAAATTCTACATATGGCATAAAGAGAATCGATTGTTTGACGCCAGTTGAACTATGATAGCTTTGTGAAATCAAAAAATAAGAAATAGGACTTTTTCATATAAAAGTCTTGTCAATTTCAAAAAAAGTAACATTTAGAATTCTTTTCATTTTCGCAAGATTTGATACTGAAATCAATACAGATACAGATAGCACATGTTCCGCATTTTTATGATCCTCTACACAATAAATTGTCCAATCATCATATAAGAAAAGAGGTGACTCATGAATGTCAGTAATTGTTATATTAACATAAACTCGTGTAAATATAAAAATTTCTAATTTCTTCTATCATTTTGAAAGATTTTATAATCCTGAACTAAAACCATGATATACTATATCGAAAGAAGTCGAGTCTGAATGCTGCAACGTTTTAAATACATCAACATATTATTTTTCTCAATCTTATGCTATCGGTAGAGCAATCGCATAAAGAACATACTACATATAATATTTATTTACAACCAGCATTGAATTCTACATGACGATAATTTACAAATTATTAGTGTGTATATATCTGGTAATTATGGTCTGAATATTGTATTCGATTGCTTTGAACAAATGCTTGTCTATCTTTTTTGTAAAATAAAATATAAGTATGAAGAGAAATAACTTACGATGTAATTGTTACTTTTTTCCCCTAAAGTTGCGGTTATGCCACATTGACATTTGATCGATGCCATGTTTAACATATAATTCGCAATTATTTCATAATCAATACTTTCTTTAAGATGAAAATCTTGCTTATTCTTTTCTTCTTTCATTTTCTCACACCATTCGTCGATTAAATAAATTATGTGTTGTTTTTGTTCATCGTCTGATTTCGAATTAGAAGCTATAGATGAAGAAATGATTGTTGGCTGTTCATTCGATGAGTTTGATAAAATTGTTGACGATGTATTATTTGTTGAAATTGTATTCGATGATGTTTTCGACATTTCTCTTCTACGCTCATTTCGCTTCTTTAGTAATGCAGCTTTTAACAATTTCATTTTGCTTTTGATTCCAGGTAAAACAACGAATGTATTATTATTTAGTTTGACACACATTTTCTTTTTCAAATCAAGTAAGTCATCCGAGTCAAGTAATAAAATTTCAATGGGATCATCGCAATCGAGCAGACATTGAACGTTATTAATATCTTGAAATTGAAGAAGAATAGCCAATTTTTCACCAGAAAAATGTTTCACAAAATCGTAAAATCCATNGGCATATTCATCAAAAATTTGTTCAGAAAAAATGAAAAATAACTATGTACCAAACCAAGTAAACAGAAATAGAATGTTCATAGTAGAAGACGAAGATAGAAATGAACACGAACAAAAACGTGTTCTTCTATCAGTTATGCGAGAAAGAGAACATGTAATAAAAATACAACATCGTAAGCTCTACATATGGAAGAATGAACGATCAGCATAACTGTGATTCAATGATATTTTATTCATACATGGAAATTTTTGTATTGACTTGTAGTATACTTTATGAAATACGTTAAAAAAGACATTTTTTTATCGCTTTGCAACAAAAACCTTTTATTAAATTATAGTCAATTTAGTACTCCTTCGTGGTTTATTCAATAGAAATTGAATCGAATGAATGGATATTGTGTTTTTTTCTTATTATACTCTTGATGATTTTGAGATACTGATATATTAATATTGGTTGATTTCTAGTGATTTCTAGTGATTTCTAGTAATTTCTAATGATTTCTGTGTGATTTCTAGCATTAGAAATCAGTTTTTTCCCCCTTGACGCCTAAGGGTAGATTCTGCTACTATTTCCTGCTAAGGGTTTAGTATTCCACGTTCAACAGTTGATTCATCTACATCTGAATAAAAAAAAGGGTTTAGTACTGTACTTAAATGCTCGATTCTATGCCTCCTCATTGGCAGGTTCTTTTATTCTACTGAAAAATATCGGCTTATCTACCTTAACATCTCAAGGGATAGTTTTATTGTCGGTTGATAGTTGATTCTACTTCTCTTTTGTTGAAAGAAGTTCAGTGTTCATCATACAGGAGTTGATATTTCCGCTCTTTCATCGAAAGGGTTTATCATTCTACGTAGAGAGATCGATTGTTCTACTGTTTGATTGGAAAAGTTTATTACTCTGCGCACAAAGGTTGATTATTTTACTTTTGCGTCAAAAGTGGTTTCTTAGGGTGTCGGTGTGAGGGTCTGTGCCTGGTTAATGTTTTTTATACAGTCACTCGCGCGCTAACTTGATGAAAAGAAATAGTAAGAT